GTGTGGACTTCAACTCCCAGAATTCTGGGAGTTGAAGTCCACACATCTTCAAGTCACCAAGATTGAGGAACCCTGGTCTAAAGGAAATGGCAAAGGTCCAGCTTCTAGCCTAGGCTGTTTTGGACCCTTGCAGATATGGGCCAGAAATGGACCACGTATCACAAATATTTTCCCAGTATTCTTGTGCAATCCCTCAGCATTTCTCTTCCACAGAAATTAACGACAAACCTAGAAACTTGAAAATTTATCAGATTAGCTATTTGAAGAGCCTGATCACTAAATCATGAACTCTGGAAATGCACCCTTCTGAGCCATCAGTGAGCGATCCAGGGACAGTGGGATTTTTGTCCTTTCATCCCATGACAGTGGAAAAGAGGATCTCCCCTGCAGCAGCGGAGACTGTCCTCGATGTTTCTCTCTCACAACATTTTCTCTCCCTCCGCTCCCCAACAGCTGAAGAAATGCCCTGGTTCGATCCCTCTTTGGTTGCTGTTGTCCAGGCTGGAAGAGAAGGTCGGTCAGCTCACCCGGGCCAGAGCCATCTTGGAGAAATCTCGTCTGAAGAATCCCAAGAACCAAGATTTGTGGTAAGGAGGAAATCCTGTGACGGTTTGTGGGAAGCCTTTCCAGAACTCTCTTCCACCTTTCATAACTAAAACCTGGTGCTCCATCTTTCTGTAGGCTGGAATCAGTGCGGTTAGAGTACAGAGCTGGGCTGAAGAACATTGCAAATACTTTGATGGCGAAAGCATTGCAAGAGTGTCCCAATTCAGGTAGGAAAAGCATAATTCTGGTTTTGCACTTTGCTCAACTTACAATTTAATTTGTTTTCTTTTTTTAAGATAAGCATTGCATGTCCAGGAAGCCAGCAATCACTATCATTAGTTTCAGTAAGAGACCTCCTTATCTGATTGCCCCTTGTACTTATGACCCTTTCCTTGCCGAACAAAAGCTGTGATATGAGCGGGTTTTTGGAATATTTCCTGGATTCCGGCACAGGGCGGGGAGTCGGACATGATGACCTTCAACTCTTACTTCCTGTGCTTCGATATTTAAATAGGTCTTGCACAATCTGGGAACGCGAATCCTTCTATGGAGAAGGTTGGCTGCTACATAGGACATGGAAAGCATTGACTTGGAAGCTATTGAACAGTGTATTGCTTTATTTATTTATTACTTCAGTTTGTACAGCCAGCCCATCTCAAATATATGGCTTTGGGCGGCTCACAGCAGAGGCTGTTGATTGACCTGGGAGGGATCACAGATTGAAAGCCCCATGCCAGAAAGGGAGAACTTGAGTCAAGGAACAGTGGGGCCCGAAACAGTGAGAGTGTCTAGTAAGCCGGGCATTTCTTGGCATTGGACAGTATTTTCCTCCACAAAAGAGGCTGAAGTACTTTCTTTGGAATATCATTGGAAAGTGTATGCAGCAATATACTAGCCGAATATTCATAACACAGTTGTGGCGTGGGTTTATTTCACCCTCGATGGATTTAACCCATACGGCTGAGTTCACACAATACTTGAGTCACAAGCGAGTCCACTTCATTTTAGACTAGCATGTTGCTTGAAACCAGTTACTATGGTTCTTGGTCTGTTTTTTTCATCTCCTGTCCTAGTAATCTTCTGTGCTTGTACCTCACTTATTCTTCTGCATTGATTCCCCCTTTTCAGCGTTCTCCCCAGTATGGCTCCAGAATAAATGTTGGGTCTTACGATGCCGCTGAGCTTTTTGATCCAAACCTGGTGAATTCATTCTTCATCATTCATCCTGAGTAGGTTCTTCAGCCACGAAAAAAAGCTTTGACGTTGGGAAAAGGCACTCATGTTTTGGAGTGAGAATTTGAGTAACAAACCAATGTGAAGAGCTCGGAGCAATCTATCAAGGACTTCATTTGAATATCTCCATTATTTTTGTGTGCATGAAAAGCAAATGAACCAATATATGAGGACTGTTTCGTATCCTGTGGAGAACCTGTGAAGAAAACATGGCAGACTATTAATATTCCCACTTTGATTAATGAAAGAAATAGTCATTCTCTTCAGGGAGTTTTTAACTGACTGCTGTTCATTCATCTCTCTAGTTTTCATCTCTTAGCTAGAAAAGGGGAGCAGATCTTCAGCATATTTTAGAATTGCTTGGTCTTTCCTGGATTTAAGTGGTCCACTAATGTCCAGTTTGCAACAGACCTCTGTAGAAACGTCCTTGTTCTGCAAGGAGCTGATCAAACACCTTCCCCATGGAGTGTTTCAGTTTCCTGATTTGTCTTTCTCTGGAAGGTCGTCTTTGGCCTTGTTTGAAGAGATGAGAACTGATACATGAGTTTTGTGTGAGGCTCTGTCTGCTGCAATTAAAATTCCACACCTCAGTGGCTTTCTTCTCATTCCGCTTTGTGGTCTTGGATGATTATTGGCTTGTCCAATGCCAGGAGAGACCTTGGGGCCAATTTTCTGTGCCAAGCACTTCTTGTATTAAACCAGTAAAGGGAGTACATATGTTCAGGTTGACCTAACCTACTGTGACAGTCAGAGTAGTCCACATATGGTGCTTCCTGCAAATATTCTAAGCCAAGTATATCTTGCCTAAAACATTCCCTACACAGCATTGGGTTGGATTCAGAAGTGTAGGAACCTTGTTTTTAAATTGCCTGTGTGGCAGATTCAAGGCAGGCAGGAGTGAGGAGGAGGAAGAGGAGGAGAATTCCCCAAGCTGAAAGCTCCAGGCCCCAGTCACCAAGGGGGTCCAGGTTGTCAGTTTTCACTAGAGACCCACATGCTCCCGGCTCTGCCCCAGGTGATGGGGGGATGGCGTGAATGAGGGGAAGGGGGACACAGCAGCGGCAGGCCCAGTGGCCCCTTGCCACAGAAGAAAGAAAGAAAACCCAAGTTAAGGGGGGGGCATCTGAAAGACCCAGGTGCTCCTGCAGGTGTGAGCTAGGGGAAAAAGGTGGAGTGCCCTGTACCTGTGGCTTTCTCTTCATCCAGCCCTATAGGGAGCTGTCAGCAAGACCTGCTGGCTGGGGAATTCTGGGAATTGAAGTCCACACATCTTAAAATGGCTAAGATTGAGAAACACTGCTCAAGAGGGTTAAGATATTAAGGAATTGGATGTCCCTCTGGGGAAGATCTGCAATTTATTCCTCCTGCTTAGACTGAGCACAGGTTCACATACAAGGCTAAATCAAAGGTCATTTCAACCATAGTTTGTTGAACCAGCCATAGTGGCTAGGTTCATACAACATACTAAGTTTGCTGATCAATGACAGAAATAAACAGGCTTGACTTGATTAGACAGCACATTAAGCCATAAATCATTCCTTTTAAAGTCCCCCGTCTCTTCCCCCTCTACCTCCCTCCCCCAGGGGAGCCAAAAGCTCTGGCCTTTTCATTCTCTTGCCTTCTGGGGGAGTTTAAATGGTCGAATGGGTCCTTTAAGCCTGGCAAAGAATAACGTTATCCCTTAAAAGCTTTTCTGACAATAAGTATGTCCTAATGTGACTGGAGTCAAAAATTCCTCCATGGAATTCTCTTGGTTATAAGGCTTCTTCATTGGCAGTATTAATTTGAGATAGTCCTGGATCAGTTCTGACTTCTGTCTCTTCCGCCTTTTAGGAATTCTGTGGTCGGAAGCCATCTTCTTAGAGGCCAGACCTCAAAGGAAGACAAAGAGCGTGGATGCTCTGAAGAAGTGTGAACACGATCCCCACGTCCTCCTGGCAGTGGCCAAGTAAGTTATGATGCCCGTTTATTTTAAGGAGGCTGAATACACGAAGCAAATATTAATTGGATATACTATCCAGAATCCTCACTGTTCTAAAAAAGGTCTGCTGGAGGTTTTGCTAAAGGCTGAGAGCCGAGGAAGTTGTGTGAAATTACATGAAGCACCAAATGGAGCCTACTCTATTGTACTCTTATTAATATTTGTACCAGCAAACCAGTGCCTGCTCAGTCTTCCATGTTTCAGTTCCTACAGAAAATGTGACCTGCGCTGTGGGTTAGGGACAGATGATAAAAATAAGCACACGCTTAAAATCCATCCCTAGGCTTAATGCTAACGTGTTTGTCAGAGCAGACTTCACTAAATGAAATCAGACTCTGTATGAACAATATGATCAAGAATCTGTCCCTCCCTGGATAGTCTCAGACACCCTTACGGGGAGAACTGCACCCTTCAAAAAAGTCCATTTTCCCCTGGCTGAGAATGAGAAATCCTGGAGGAGCCTTTGGGGACTCACGAATGGACTATAAGGATTTCTTCATCCCCTTTTTCTCTCCTTTTTGGAAATGCTGCATATATCTGATCAGTAGCTCTGAAGGGGCAGACGGACTTTGACACATTATTTTCAGATTCAGGTATTGCTCTGTTCTGTCTTCCCATCCTTAACAAAGCTGCTTTGACTGATCTCCTTAGCTCTCTGTATCTGGCCCCATGCTTTTCCAGGAACCAAGCAGCTGCTAACCTCAGCTGTTCCCCCAAATACCATCCCCTAAGCTTCCGCACAGATTCATTCTAATGACAGACACTAGATGGAAGGAGGCAAGGGGTAATTTCAGACCTCTCCTTTATTGCTTTGCTATTCCTCGGCACCCGTTAGAGTTAACTTGTCTCTTGTTCTCCATGCTAACATGGGACAGAAGGAGTGGAGCTGGGGGTCGGGGGGAGATAGAAAGGCTGTTGACTACTCTGAAGACAAAAGAGAAGTCAGCATGACACCCCTTGGTCGCCGTATAGCAAGCTATCTTTGTTTCTACATTTTCTGTTGATGAACATGAAATAAAATAACAAGGCAGGAGACAGCCCTTTGAAGGGAAAATGCTGCAGGGAAGGGAGGAAAATGTGGGGCAGATTATTTTGAAAGAGGGAATCTGGGGGCACCTTTTCTGACTAACACCTTTTATTAAAAGGCAGTTCACGAAAGCTTCGGTGGGAGGGAAAGTTTTTCTTTGCTGAGAAGAAAACAAGAAGTGCTGGCATATGTTCAGAGACACCCTTGTTATTTTTCTCTTGGCTCGTACCAGACTTTTTGCAATTAAGCCTGCCTGGAACTCCTTGGGCCTTGACGGTGAAATATTAGGGACAATGCGATGGGGTCCTTGGGGTTCTGCCAGGGAGTCACTTTCGCCACTTTCCCTGACACCAGAGCAGCACTCGTGGTCTCTTTCCATTACTTTAATGAGCAGAGGAGCACTGGATGTGCTCCGTGATCCCCTCCCAGGACAGATTGAGTGGAGAAAAGTTCCAGGGAGCCTGGGCATCGTTCCTCCACCCGCACCCTGAGACGTGTCTCTACAATTCGGTAGTTCGCTGTGGCTCTTGCAGGCGCTGAGTGGGTCCTTCAGACTTAATTCCACAGGAAACCATTTTCTGAATGTGGAAAACCATTGCAGTATCTTGGAAAATGTCACGGTGAATTGTGGGGTCTTTTCCTTGGAAAGGAAGCCAGGTTTTAATAGCCCTAGTAAAATTGTCAGCTCAGGAGTGAGCCTCTGCCGTTCTCTAATGAAGATTCTCTTGCTCTGACAAGCGGGCTTTGCTCGGTTCTCTTCTAGGCCTTGTAAAGAGCTTTCAGCAACATCCCAGTACTAAGCCCTACACACTTTGCAAGTAGCATTTTTTTTTCCTTGACAGCTATTGCAGTAACAAGCCCCCCCCCCAGTTATATTTACTAGGCCATAAACATACACGGTGGAACAGTTTGATCTGCCAGACAGCCTTTTTATTAAGTGTCAAGACATGGAAATCCCTGGGTCTTGACTGAGCCTCTGTGCTGGAATGCAAAATTAGTCCCCGTAAAAGAGCAGTGCAGTTGTTTGACTGAAGGACTTCTTTTAAAAGGAAGAGGAAAATTTCAGAATGGGTAACAGGCAGGGAAAGCTGGACACTCAGAATTAAGCCCATGCCCACTGCTTTTGTTAGATTTCCATGTTTAAAGACAATGCTGTATTGGAGGGAGGGAGGAAGGAGAGGAAGTGGGAGGGAGGGAGGTAAAGAAGGAAGAAAGAGGGGAGGGAGGGAGAAGGAAGGAAGGGGAGGGAGGGAGAAAGGAAGGAAGGGAGAGAATAGGAGGGAGGGAGGGAGGAAGAAAAGAGGAAGAAGGAGGGAGGGAGAAGGAAAGAAGGAGAGGGAGGGAGGGAGAAGGAAGGAAGGAGAGGGAGGGAGGGAGAAAGGAAGGAAGGGAGAGGGAAGGAAGGAGGGAGGGAGGGAGGAAGAAAGGAGAGGAAGAGGGAGGGAGGTGATGGAGGGAGGTAAGGAAGGAAGAAAGGAAGGAAGAAAGGAAGGAAAGGGAGGAAGGAAGGAGGGAGGGAGGAGGGAAGAAAGAGGAAGAGGGAGGGAGGAAAGGCAGGAAGGAGGAGAGAAGGAAGGAAGGGTTTGTTTGATTGATTGATTGATTGATTGTAAGATTTATATGGCCGCCCATCTTAAACACAATTCTGGGTGGCTCACAACAACAATAAAGCCCAGTAACTCTAAAATCATAAACCATAAAACAAAAACACAGTGCCTCAATCATCCCCTTGGGATGCCCCACAACCAGCTCCAGATATCCTCATTCCATCCCAGCTCCTGGGTAAAAAGCCAGGTCTTGGTAGCCTTCCGAAAGGCTAAAAGGGATGGGGTATGGGGAGGAGAGGTCATTGGCTGTATTTTGAGAGAAGGTGATAAGTGACTAAAATTGTTCATACTTCTTGCGATGAAGGAGGAAGTCATTTTTTTATATATTTCTTTTCTTTCTCTTTACTATCATCTTATTTTTTCTTTCCTATTTTTCTTTCTATCTTTTTTCTTTTTTTTCTATGTTTTTTAGTTTGTATTAGTTTTTTTTCTTGTAATTGTTTTTATTTTTTATTAAAATTACCATTTAAAAAAAAAACACCAAAAGGCTAAAAGGGTGGGGGCCTGCTGGATCATTGGGGGGAGGTGTTCTATAAGGTAGGGGCAGCCCTGGGAAAGCACATTTGTGAGGTCCCACTAGATGGCAAGATTTCAGGGAAGGGACCTGGATCGTGCCCATCCTATCCGATATACTGGGACAGGCAGATACTCTCAGGGAGAGGTGGTCCCGCAAATAAGGTGGTCCCATGCCATGTAGGGCTTTAAAGGCGATACCAGCACCTTGAATTGCACCTGGAAGGAAACAAGGAGCCAGTGCAGTTTGCGCCACAGAGGTTTAACATAGCCGAACCTAGGAATACCCAATATTACACGTGCCGCTGCGTTCTGGACCAGTTGTAGCTTTCGAGTGGTCTTCAAGGGCGGCCCCATGCAAAGCGCATGGGATCTAATTGTGTTGTAAACTTCACCGGTGTCATTGGTTAACAAAATCCCAGTTGGGCAGCTCCTGTTCATTTCAGTAGGACTTCTAACAAGCCTTTCTGATGTACATGAACAAATTAGACATTTCCAAATTATCATGCCTATTGATCACAGGCCAAGCGTGGGCAAAATATGTATGTTTTCTGTATGTTTAGGGCTGCTTCTGCAGGGGTTGAATTAGGTACTACCAGGGAGATGGGTATTGAGCAAATGAGCTTAGAAGAATCGGTGAAGGATGACACAGAGAAGGCCCATACCTGTTCGGTGTCATTCCTGGATTGAAATTGAAGCAGAGTCCAATTGAACGCATGGCTGGCTGGGGTATTCTGGGAGTTGAAGTCCAGACGTCTTAAAGTTGCCAAGGTTGAGAAACCCTGGTCTAAGGGGCATCTCCATGACTTTTCCTTCTCCATTGGATGTGACTTGTGCTACTCCAGATTCTGACTGTCTTGGTCAGAAAGACGTTCCTGGTCTCCTTAGCTTGCCTTCTCCTCCTTCCTCCTCTGCAGGTTGTTCTGGAGCGAACGTAAAATAACCAAGGCTCGAGAGTGGTTCCATCGGACCGTGAAGATAGATTCTGACCTGGGGGACGCTTGGGCTTTCTTTTATAAATTTGAGCTTCAGCATGGCACTGAGGTGAGGGAATGGTTGATTCACTCAAACGGGAACTTTATGGAGAGACTTTGCTGATTGGGGAAGCGTTAGTGATGGTGGAACAGGCTCAGATTCCTTTTGATTTCCAGAGGAAAGTGAAAATGTTGACTTAAGCTAAGGCAAACATCTGAGCTGCAAAAATCCAGATGAAAGCTAAATGACAGCAAAGAGATATGGAAAACTCAGTCCCTTTGTTTCTATCCAGCGGTCATCCATATTTTTGTGACCCAGATATTATATGCATAATTAAAGCTGCATTCTGGGTATGTTGGTGGTCTAGAATCCTAACTGCCCCATTCTCCAAATCTTCCATAGAGTTCATTTGCAACTCCCAAGTTATTTCCCAGCTCTTGGGCTGTTGAAATCCCTTTTCCCTCACTGATTCCTTTTCCTTATTGCTCAACTGCTCCCTGGGATTGGATCTCTGATCATTAGTCTGTGCTCCCTCCCTAAAGTTCTAGGCAGCTCACAGCAATTCATAAAACATAGTTAAAAAGAAAAGTACCCTTCTCCCAGGTGCCAGACCAATCATCCTTGCAGCTCAACACCCCCCCGCCCCATCCTAGCCAAATGCTTAGGAGAAGATTGAGGTCTTTACAGCCCTCCAGAAGGCTAAAAGGATAGGGGTCCCTCTGATCTCCGGTGGGAGGCTGTTCCAAAGGACTGGGATGGCCACCGAGAAGGCACGCCTTTGAGGTCCCATCAGATGGCAACATTTAAGGGAGGGGACCTGGAGCACACCCACTCACTCTTGGTTAGCTAGAGTGCTTCTTCCTAGCTCTGAAGATTGTTCTGAGGGGGTTGGGCACAGCCGAGCACTGTGGGATAACTTGTGGAAGGTAGATGGGAGTGGATTTGTCCCATTTTGTAGCTGTACCTTCAACGGGCACAGGTGCAGTTGTACATCCTCTTGTTAAAGCAAGAATCTTTAGCAGAACCAGGGTTCTTCAGGAATCTTCTGAATTTCCGAGTAAACCTAACCAGATTGTGTTGCATGTCTCCTGAAGACTTCTTGCGACCTGAATGGTTAAGCCAAGTTTTGTGCCTCCTTTCATCCTGATGCAGGAGCAGCAAGAAGAGGTGAGGAAGCGTTGTGAAAATGCGGAGCCACGCCATGGAGAGCTGTGGTGCGAGGTCTCCAAGGACATCAGCAACTGGCAGAGAAAGATTGGCGAGATCCTGATCCTGGTGGCAGCCAAGATCAAAAACACCTTCTAGAACTTGGGAGGTGTGGAATCAAAGGAGACCTTGGGTTGGACTCTGTCTTCTTGGGTTATCACTCACGCAAAGAGCATGAAAGAGAGAGAAGATGCCGGGGAGCATATTTGCTGCAGCTGTGCCTCCCCGGGCTCTTCCTTGATAGCTGTCGGTCACAAGGATGATGAACTGTGTGGGAGACGCTTCATATAGCAGCTTAGCAATTCTGAAGTGCAGATACCAGGAACTTAACAGTCCTAGTCGAGAGGCAGACGTGCCTCCTGTGCCTAAACTCTCCTGGTGTTTTTTTTTTTTTACCCCAGATTCCCCTGAGAAGCATCTGGCTGGTGGGCCCTCCTAGGGACCTGGCTTTCTAATATTCAGTTTGCCTACCTAATATCGTCTTCTTCCCCTTAAGTACCTGGCTATTTAAAGAGTGCAGTCTATTTTTCTACAAGAAAACCCCAAGTGGTTTAACACCCACTTTTCAGCAGAATTCTGCAGGAATCCTTGACTAGGATTTGTCTTTTGTAAGTGGACCAAGAATGGAATCGGAAAACCAGCAGACCAGTTAGAAAGCTACGAATTTTGAAGTCTGTTGGAAAACCTGGGCAGAGAAACCAGCGGGAGAACAGGCAGCGTTGCTGCTACAGGGAAGTTCACTGTTCATTGAGTTAGGACAGAATCTTGTTGAAATGCTTTTGAAATTAAAATGACGTACTGTTTTAACAGGTTCCCCCCCCTCCCCTTATCTCTGGATGTTTTGTTTTCTCTTTGGAATTTTAAACGATAGTGCTTTCTGATCGGTAGAAGAATTATCACAAAATACAGAATAGGAATCAATGAGAGGGTAGAAAAAGCGTGTTTAACCAACAGATGATTTCGCAGAAGAGCCGATAGCCGTAAAGAGGGAATACCAAATGAAAGGAGAAGTTTATTGGTGGAAGGACGTGGGTGAACTGACAAGATCTCTGCCGCTGTACAGTTGTGTGGGAACGTCCCCTGAATAAACCCTGTTTAAGCTGTTGCCCCTCTCACAGCGAAAGTTTCTTTCCCGGTATATCTGGAGCATTTCCTTTTGAAGAAAACACATTCCTAGCCTAACTCCCCGTCCTGGAGTTCCCTTCCAGATAAAATCTTCCCAGTCCATTAAGGAAAACTGTGTTTGTGTATTAGAATATGTTGGAGTGTTTCTGCATGTCATCCTTGTTTTCGGGAAAAAATTGTCTTAACCGGCAGTGGTTGTACATACAGTAGCATGCTACTATAAAATACAAGTTTGGTCAGGGATTATGCCTGTCTGGCACTGAATTGATTCGGTTCGGATCACTTCATCTTTTAATTCTTCCTCCGGGGGCTAGTGTGGATGTTTTGGATAGGACCCAAAATACAGTTCGGTAGGACGTCCAAGGTGAGCGGAGATGACTGGGGGACTCAAACGTGCATAAACCCGGCACGCTCGCACCCTTTCTAAATCAATGAACATATTTGGAATTGGGAAAGCATATTCTGGAAGCATTCATGGGTCAGAGGGAACGGACAGCCACAGTGGAAGCACCCCTGGGTCAGAAGACATATTGATAGATGGCCTCTGCCACCACTTCTGCCCCCTCTCTCCGCTTCACCAGGACTGAAATGACCACCAGTTTTCTTCTAAGAACGCCCAGGGGATCAGAGGTGGTACAGACAATGAATAGGATGCTGTGGCTGGCTGGCTTTGCAGCAGACTAGCTTTCTGTGTCTTTAAATAGAGATGAAAATAACCTGACGAAATTAAGAAAGCCAGTGGGATGGAGGGAGGGCCGGGGGGGGCCACGGGAGGTGCCTCTGGGGATCCCAGTCCCAGGCACGCACTCGCCTCCCTTCTTCCCAATACACGTTTCCCTTTTCGCACTTGGTGTACCGAGCCACGTATTGAGTTGAGGATGTTAATGCTCCATTCTTCTCTCTCTGTTCAGAGGTCGGCCTAGTAATGCCCCCCCCCAGCTGGCTGAGGATGATGGGGATTGTAGGTCAGGGCATCTAGAAGTCTCCCCGGTTGGGGAAAGCTGCTCTAGGAAAGGGGAGGGCCTGGGAGCGAGCCACACGATGCTCTGGTGGTTCTCTCGAGCGCTGGGTCATTAATGTTCACAAACGTAGAAAAGGTGGACGCTGGGTTGGCTCTTCAGATCGTGCCCCAGGGATGGGGGATTTGGTTCCATTCTTTATTTATCGTTCCAGGTTATATACTGCTCCGGTGGCCAAGATAATACTTTCCTCCTCTGTTTTTCCTCCAGCACAATGGTAGAAATGCCTTCCCTTGTGTAATCTTAAAGCAAGCTAGAGCAATGGTTTCCTCCATGTTGCTTCCTTTGTCTTGGGAAGGCTTCGGGGAATAGGCTCCATTTCAGCCACATTCATTTCCAAGAACTGTGCCAGGGCACGCACTTGTCTGGATGTTGTGCCCCACATTTGGCATAGTAGCTGCCTAACAAACATCGCGGGGTAGACCCAGAGAGTGAAAGGTCTTGACAAGAAGAGGAGAAACACTTCGCAATGCTTCTTTGAGTCTGGGGTGGGCAGCTGTTTACAAACCTAGGCAGTGTTTCCTAACCTAACAGGTTTGAGGGGGAAAACTTGAAAATATGTGGGCGGTATTCAGCAAAATGTCGAGCACGGGCCAAGGTTGGTTTTGCATGAACTAAAGGGATGTAACATGAACACGTGCTTCTTTCTGACATTCTCTTTACTTTGACCTCCTCTCCTTGCATTCTTCTTACTGATTGCCTTAAGGCAGTGTTTCTCAACCATGGTCACTTTAAGAGGTGTGGACTTCAACTCCCAGGATTCTGGCTGGCTGGGAAATCCTGGGAGTTGAAGTGCACACCTCTTAAAGTTGTCCAGGTTGAGAAACATTGCCTTGAGGTAAAGAAGCAGTGTTGTTGGTATTGCCAGCATCGATGCCCCTTTCTACTCTCTGAACCCAATTAATTAACTAGTTAACTAATTTGAACCTCCTGGTGATCAGTTCCTGGACTTCCATTTTGAGATTCAGATTTCTCGGGGGGTTTGCCACCAAGCTACAGCTGTTCCCCATGGTTGCATGACCAGCAGAGCTCACATCTTCAGAAACATGTAAATGTCAGGCTGCAGGAAAGGGATGGGCAGTGACCTGAATTTATCTTTTGCCAAGATTTTGATGCTTGTAAGATTGGGGAGGGGGGAATTGCAGGTGGCTGCTCTGGAGGAGATGGTGAGCAGATGAATCAAGGAGCGAATTGTTCATTGGGTGCAAGGAGTTGGCATATTCAAGTGATGTGATCTATGGAGCCCCAGTAATATGGCAGTTTCTGGAACTCAGGCTATTAAAGAAATTGTACATATGGAAGGGAGACAATGGGTCTGCCTTCCTCTCTGGCCTTCCCTTGTCCTGAATACCTGCACCTGTCTGGAGTACTTCCCAGAAAGGATGGCTAAGGATCTTCAGGAGTTGAAGTCCAACCCACATGGGAGACACCAGGCTGTAGAAAGCAGCCACCCAGAAAAAGATTGCTATTACTTTAAAATTAAGTTGCATCCTCGATCCTTCTTTCCTAGCACAAGGAGGACAACCGGATCCTATCACTAGGCTTCCCTTTTCTCTGTCAGAAAGAACATTTGGGACAACAGCCGTGAAGGAAGCCTATCTTGGCCCAACCCATCACAGGGCCTACATGTGTATCTGTTACTACTTATGTTGACACAGCAGGATTAACTGGACCACTTGCAACCCGGGCTTAGCTTGATGTGTGAATCCAGCCTTTTCAGTTGGCTTATGGTTCAGTTGTAGAAACCAGAAAATGGGTTAATTCCATAACCGAGTAATGTATGTTGTGTGTCAGCCTGTAAGCCAATTTGAGAAGAGTTAGACTGATACATCTGAACTTCACAACGAATTTAATTCATAAAATTGTAGAATTGGAAGAGACCTTCTAGTCAACCCCCCTGCCCAATGCTGGCATCCACTACTGTTTAACACTTCCAACAAAGGAGATTCTACAATCTCCAGAGGTAGCCTGTTCAATATTAAACAATGCCCAAAGGCAATTACAGATTTTTTGTATAGGAGATACCAAAAATATATCTACGAAGCATATAATGCAGACGGCATGGTGATCCATTGCTGCCTTTGTTTAAAGGTTTATCCTACAAGAATCCTAGAGTTGAAAGTGGTCATTTAGATTGGTGCTTCTCAACCTTGGCAACTTTAAGATGTTTGGACTTCAACTTCGGAGTTGAAGTCCAAACATCTTAAAGTTGCCAAGGTTGAGAAACACTGATTAAAATCACTGAATGGAGCCCATACTGAATGCAGGAATCACATTGAAGTGTATCTGACATGGATGTCCAGACACCACCTAAACCCTTTCAGGGACTGGGAGCCCACCGCGTCTCTGGATCATAGGTCCACTGTCAAACTGCTCTTACCATTAGGAGGTTTTTAAAAATGCAATCAGAATCTGCCTTCCTGTGAGCTAAATCCATTACTGTGTGTCCTGCACTTTTGAATACATCCCTTCAATTATTCTTTGTATGATTTAAGTTTTCAGTCTCCCTGATTGTCCTCACTGCCTTTCTGTAAACCTCTCCAGTTTGTTAAAATTCTTAACCGTGATATCCCGAATATGGCACGATACTTGAAGTTAATTTTGACCAAAACTGAATATGTTGCAATCCGTCCCTGTGACTCAAAAACACTTTTGTTGATGCAGTCTAAAGCTGCATTTTTGGGGGGAGCCACATCACACTGTTAACTCTTATTCCATTTGCAGACCATGGTTAGTTCTTTTTCACCAATGCAATAGCAGTCTGGGTATAACCAATGCACATTTGATTTCTCTTTCCTAATTTAAGAATCTCCTCTGGTCTCTGCTGAATTTCATTCTCTTGTTTCCAGCCCATTTCTCCAACCTCTCTAGATTGCTTTGTGGCTTATTATTAACTATCCCATATTAGACCATATTAACACTCTCAAGAAGATTCAAGTGACAGTTGACCACGCTGGCTTCTCTTTTCTGTGGTCTGCCATTGCTTGAGAAGTCCTTAGGTTAGTGTTTTTTAAACCTGGCAATTTTAAGATAGGTGGACTTCAACTCCCAGAATTCCCCAGCCAGTATGCTGGCTGGGGAATCCTGGGAGTTGAAGTCCACCCATCTTAAAAGTTGCCAAGTTTGAAAAACACTGACTTAGATCCATTCTCAGTGAAAGATGCAGCCACTCATGGACACAAGAGGGCACTAGTGAGCTATCTCCAATTTTGTGGTGTCTCCCAACACCAGAGTTTTCTGAACTTCTATTTTTATTTTATATTCCTGGGGTTATAGGTCTCTCCAGTTGTGAATGACTCAGAATGGTGTGCATCCCAACCTCTATAAATAGAGTTAAAAGCCATATAATTAAAAATCACCGATAATATGCAATCTGTCTCTAACACTGGGAACGTTCATCAGAATAACTGAAAATTGTCGGCTAGCAGAGGGAAGAACATTCCAGCCCCCCCCCCCGCAATGTCTGATGGAATAAGCAAGCTTTAAGCCCTTCCTCAAAACCAGGAGGTCATTTAGATATGGGGGGGCGGGGATGCTGTTCCCCAGAAGTGGGGCAGTGATGGGGAAGACTTGCTTCCATGATGCCTGGAGATGGCATTTCCTAAGCTTTGACCTTGACGGAGGGAGCTCATTCGATCAGA